AATTTTACATTCTTGACAGAATTTTGGGGGAGAATATTCCTTTTAAATTTATTACTTTGTTCTGACCTTTGTATAAGTTAGTTATATGTGTTATCCATCTTCATCTTTTTAAAAGTTAACTTTTAGGCTTTTTAAAAAAGAAAATCTAGAGTAGCTTTCTCTCTCAGGCTACTCCCTAGCACTAGGACATTGCCCTTGTGTGAATTCTTGGGATCTTTCAGATTTTGCTTCCTTGGTAATAGTCCTTACCTTGAAAGTTCTTTACTCAGACTTGTAGAGATTTATAATATCCATGACTAGATTAGCGGTCAGCCAGAGTCTCAAGTTAATTCCTGTGCAGATTTTTGGAGCCTTTTCTCTTCATAACAGCACTCTTCCAGTGTTCTGTCCTCCAAATTGTAGCCCCCGGGGTTCTCCAAACTCTGATTTATACAGTAAGAACTTCTGGCTCTTTTTGGGTTTCCCATCCATATGGCACAGATCATAAAATGACTTTTAGGCCTAATGCAGCAGCAATCATGGGCCGTATTGCCTGTTTCCGTTCTCCTTGGGATCATAGTCTGCTGTCCCATGTTTAAAATTGTTTCCTTTTTTTCCAGTGTTCTATTTGGATATGATGAAAAGTCCAGATCCTGTTAATCCCTTGTGGCTGGAAATGGTAGTATGCTATTTTAATAACACCCTTTATTTACTACATTTAACACATATTTATGGAACACCTACTATGAAAAGCCCAGAAATACAAAGATAAATGAATCACAGACTAAAAGTTACAATATTGCGGTACCGTTCAAATGTGGCCCCATATTCTTTAATATTCCTTCCACCAAGAAGTGAGATTTCTTCTCCTTGAGTACAGACACTGTGACTCCTGTTCCAGTACACTATGACTGAAATAATGCCGTGCCCATTTCCTAACTCAGGTCTTAGGACAGTGATAGTTTCCTTTTCCTGAGTCTTGAAATGTTCAGTTCAATATTCTGGGAGGAACCAAACAGTCACTTAGGAGGTTCCCTGTAGTTGTTCTGACTAACAACCCCAATGACCCAACCAACTGCCAGCATCAACTGTTAGACTCGTTAATTGTGTAAGTTTTCAAAAGATCGCAGCCCCAGGTGTCATCATCCCACCCTTTGAGCCATCCCTGCTGATACGGAGCGAGACAGGCAAGCTGTGCTTGAGGAGCACTGACCACATTTCCAATTTGCAAGCAAAAGAAATAATGACTGTTGCCCTAAAATACCAACACCTGGAACAAATAGAATACCATTAAGTGCTGTGATAGAGGCGACCAATATCAAATGAACAAATCTTTATTACATGCCTATTTCCAGTCAGGTACTGCACCAGGAAAGGCTTCTGAAAAATGAAATACGTGTGGAGGTTTACAGAAGGTATAGAATCAGAGCAGGAAAGGCAAAAAGAATTGCTTGTTTAAAGCCATGGAAAGTCTGGGGGCATCAGAAAAACTAAAGTACGGGACACGCATAAACTTTGAGGAGCCTGAGGGGAGGGGTGGGAGGGATGGAGGGGATAGATGGGGTGGAAAAGTGAACATCTGTAATACATTCATCAATAAAAATAAATAACGACTAAAAAAAATTCAAAAATGTGATAAAAACAAAAAACTGTGAGATGAGGTATTCAGGGACCAGTTTAGTAACAATGTAGTACTAAAGAATTAGGATTTAATCCTGAAGGCAGGAGGCTGATCTGCATGCTTGTAATCATGCAGCTAATGTATCATTTATTTAATGACTGTCTTTCCCATAGGTTATTAGACTCCGAAAATGGTTATCTCACATAGAGCTTTTATCCCTATGGTATTTCCAGCTTCTAGAACGGTACTTGGCACAAATAAGGAGTTAATAAATATGTATTGAATGACTGAGTGGCCGAAGAACCATGTGAGAATTTCATAGGAATATGACCAGGTTTGTGTGCTAGAAAAATCATTCTAGTAGAGGTTTGGAGAATGGTTGGGAAATAGGCAGGTGTATTAGCTTGGCTGCCGTAAGAAATGACCACAGACTGTGTGGCTTAAATAATAGAAATTTATTTATTTTATAGCTCTGGAGACTGGATCCTAGATCAGGGTGCCTGTATGGGTTTAGTCCTGGCTTGCAGACATAGCTGCCTTCTCACTGTGTGCTTACGTGGTGTTTCCTCTTACTAATCCCATCAAGAGGACCTCACCCTCCTGATCTCATTTAAGCCTAATCATTACTTAATCATCCACCAAAGGCCCCATCTCCAAATAGTACCGCACTGATGTTATGAATATCAACCTATGAATTTTGGGAGGACACACTTCAGTCTATAAGGAAAGGAGAAAACCCCTGTAGGAGGTGAATGCAATCATTCATCTAAGAGATAATGAGGGTGTGAACTAAAGTAGTGTTAATACTTTTCCTAGGATATTTTCCCCCTACACATTAAACTTATAGATTTTTCTTGAAGTAGCTCCATTTGCATGCTGTTTTTTTTTAATGTATAAGAATTTTCAAAATTAAACCAAAGAAAAGATTTAGCATTTTAAAATTAACCACAGAATTTAGTAAACACATATTACAGAAATATTTGAATGTGAAATTGACATAAAGTTTCTACAGTGTTTTTAAAACTATAGTAAAAATGAAACTCCTGCAGTTTCAATGTTTTAAGGGCTAATAATGAAAAGCTGACCTCAAAATACAAACTCATTTCACTTTTTTATATTTGGCTTTTATGTTAAACATAATAATGTTAAAAACTTTACATTTAGAAATGTTTATTATTTACAGCATATTAATCATAAAAGCCCCAAATAGCTAAAGCCATCCTTCTAAGTCATATTCTAAGTCAGAATATATAGATAATGCTATCAAGATGAACAATTCCCAGTGCTTCACTATTCCCAGTGCTCACATATTGATAATCAAGGCTTAAACAATTTGATCCATAGATTATTGCTGGCAACAGAATAATTCAGTCTCATTACTGAACCACAAAGCACATCCAAATGTATTTCCATAAACATTTGGCTACGATACAAGGTGATTATAATAATGTGCCCCAGCTCTGCTCAGAAACTTGAGGCGGACAAGTTGTCCCCTGATTCTGTCAGCCCAGGAATCAACAACTGGTTTTTGATAGAAAATTCTCTGGTTCACATACCAATAGTGATGTTTAGGACGAATTTTATACTGTCAAAATGAAACACAAGTAAACTTGGCTCTGGCTCCTCAAAATGTTAAGAACCAGTGTTACAAATGTACCACTTTTTTTTTACATTATGTTTTTACTTTTTTCTGCTTTTGAAAGAAAGTTGGCTCATCATTAAAATATTTGAAAAACACAAACTGCATAGAAAACTAAAAACCAATCCAAATCTTATCACTCAGAGAGGATCATGTAATACTAGTCTCATGTATTTCCTTTCAGACCTAAAAAATCTGGGTTATTTTGTAATTCTGCATGGTTTTGTAACCTGCTTTTAAAAACTTATGTATTTAGATGTCATTCTATGTAAAGATACATCTATATTATCACTTTTAATAGCTGTGGAGTTTTTACTAGTACAGCATGTCTACTGTATTTACTGGACCAATACTAATTATAACTATTGCTTATACTTATTTAATGCTTACTATATGCTAATCAACTAAGGGTTTCACTTGTATTAATCCACTTGATCTTCACAACCCTATTATTTCTCCTGTTTCTTACAGAAGAGGAAACTGGGGCCCCAAGAAGTGAAGTAATTTGTCTGATCTCTTAATATTGGACATTTTAGTGGTGATCAATGCTTTGGTAATATATGCAATGTTGTTATGAATATCTTTGCTCATGTTCTTAAAGGATGTCTTTGGGATACATTTCAAAAAGTAGAATTGCTGGGTACAAAGGTGTTCACATTTTTAAAGGCTTTGGTAACATACTTCCAAATATTTCCTTGAGGAAGAATATATTAATTTACACTTAATTCAGCAGTGCGAATGTACGATTCCACATTTCTAATTCTATGTCTGAATGACAAAAATGTATCCAATTACTACTTTAATTTGCATTTTCACTTTTAGAAATGGAACTTCATTCTTAATGGATGTTTGTAAGCACTCTTTGTACACCACTACTAACACTGTTGCTGACATTTTGCAAACATTTGTTTACATGCTACATTTGGAAGTGCTCTATTTTTGGACACAATTACCTAATTTCAGTTCTCCTGCAAGATGCTGTTTGTTCCAAATGGGATGCAACATCTAGCAGATGCTCCTTAAAATTTCGACATTTGTTAAATAAACGTAAGTGAAATTAGTAAGTAAACATTTTAAGTGGTTAGGAATCACCAATCAATTTCTAGTTCCATTTTTCAGTTTTCTTTTTTGCTCGGTTTAGGGGGGGCATTCTTGGGTTATGACACTTATTTTCCAACCAGCACAGCTGCCTACTGACTGCACAGTTAGTCAGTACCCACCAACGCCCAACGAGAAGCGTTTTCCAGGGATTCTGCAGCCGGGCGTTCGGGGAGACTCTGGGGAAGGTGCCAGCGAGACCTCAGCCCTCTCCCGGGAGCGCCCGACACTCCCCTCTCCAGGGATTCCAGCCCAGCCGTCCAGCTCACATGACTTCATCCAAGCAAGCTTGTCACCGCGGACAGCAAATTACTCTCTGCCCTGTTGACTCCAAATGCAGGCGTTCCCACCCGCCTCCAATGAACTACAAAGTTAGGACCATCCACCGAAGGGGGGGAAAAGGGGTCTCGCTCAACACAAACGCGACCCCTTTCTTTCCCAGCCCCTTTCACTCCTGGGATTGTTAGTCGGCTTCCGCGCGCCTGGAGGACCCCGTCCCCCGCAGACTGCCAACCAAGGCACAAGAAGAAAACGCAGGCATTATTGCCACTCTCCTGTATGATTAATCAAAAGAGAAGTCGGGTGGAGGGGACGCTTTGGTTGGACCTGTTTTGGAGAGGCAGTTTCTGGGGCAGGTTCTGGTCAGGCAGCGCTGAGGTCACCCCGATTCCCGACAGGCTCCACGCGGGGGCCATTCTGGGCTCCTTAGCCGTGGCCGCCGCTGTCGCTGCTGTCGCCACCGCCGTTGCTGGGGGTTCGGTGAGACGGTAGCCTGTCGCGGACCCCGTAGGGTCCGTGTCAGTCGCTGTTTTTGCCTGAGGGGTCCTCCTTCCTCCGCCGCACCCTGACTCCCGTGGTGTCGACGGGGAGTCCCTGCGGACACCTCGGCACGCGGTGGAGATGCCTCTCTTTGCCACGAATCCCTTCGATCAGGATGTCGGTAAGTGTTTCTGCCGCTCCCGGTGCACCGCCCCCCGGACTGCAGCCCCGCTCTGCCCGCTCTCTGCGGACGCTCCTGGCCCCGGGGCCAGGCCAGGCTGTCCCCCTTACCCGAGGCTCCAACCTTAAGAGTTCGGAGGAGGTCGCGGGCTTGGCGCATCCTCTTTGAAAGAAGATGGGACTCCGGGAGCCCGCGGAATGGGCCTTGAGCTGGGACCGTGGGTTTGGAAAAATGGCCCGAAGGGTTGCGGTGGAGAGAGCTCGGGAGGAACAGCTGGCGTGGCATCTGGTGCTGGGACCGAGCTGCTGGGAGAAGCGAGCTGGGAGGGCTGGGGAGGGGCGCCTCGGCTCGGGGGGATGCTGAGTCCGCGCTCCAAGTGGGGTTCTCGGCCACCGCTGAGGCCGAATGGAGGACCCGAGCTGCTGCTGGAAGCGGGGGCGCGGACCGTGGGTCTGAGAACGCCGGTTTGTTTGGGATGTAAAACGCCCCTCCCCCCTTTTGTTTTTCTGAATCACTGGCAGTAGGTACCGACCGGCCATACCGATTCAACAGGTTCGCTTTTGTTTATCTTCTTCTGGCTTAAGGGCATTAACTGCGCGGGTTGGAGTTTGCGAGGAGAGAATTTTGGGGTGATCTGACTGCAGTTGTTGTAGTAAAGAAAGGTGAAGGACAGCTGTGAGTGGAGTTGCCTCTGTATTTTCGTGGTGAATGGTGGGTGTCAGGTTTTGCTTTTTTAACCCTTCCTCACAGCATATCACTGAAGCTTGGAGATTCCGGGGAAGGCCAGAAGAGGGTTAAATCTTGTATCTGCCACTTCCTAGCTGCGTGAAGTCAAGGACAAGCCACTTCAGCGCTTTGGGCCCCAGTATCCTCATCTTTAAAGAGAGAAAAACACATTCTCTTCATGGTTAAATAATATGTGTAAGTGCCTACTGCAGTGCCTTTATATAGTAGTCACCTAAATGATGGCTTTTTTTTTTTTTTTGGTTCAAGTTTAAATGAATGTCCTAAGTACAGTGGATGGAACTTTAGAGTTCACCAATAATACTTGTAAATAATTAATTGGAAAAATTGCATTTAATTTAGTAAGCACTTAGCACACGCTATTTACAGGACACTCTTCAGTGACTTAAGAAATTGAGGTACTGATAAGACATGGTTGCTGCCCTTTAAGTAGTTTTACAAATTATTACATTAATTTCTAGGGCAAATACTTAAAGTAAAACAATTTCTTAATAACTGCTTCTTTCGTTTCCAGTACCTTTGTCTAGTTTTTTTATAATATAGCTTCCAGTTCACTTTTATATCCTACTGACTCTTTTAATGCACCTTTTCATTGCGATCAGATACATTTCTTAATGTCAAAACCTTTCTCACTATCTGCAGCCACCAGTTCAAAGCACGCTCCTTCTTGCCTTTATATGTTTGCGTCTTTTATTTCTTCTACCTTTCTACATGTCCTCATGATGAAAGGCCAGCTCAGGAATTGTTTCTTGATTACTCTATCCTAGGGTTTTTCAGTAGCAACAGTATGATGGTTTGGACCAGATAAATGTCTTTGGTGTATGTGTATGTGTTCGTTCTATCCTGTGCAATGCAAGCATCCCCGACAAATACCCACTAGATGCCAGTGGCACCTCCCTTCCCCAGTCATGATTTAAAAGATTTCCAACAATTGCTAAATGTCCCTCAGGCCCACAAAATAGCTCCCAGTTGAGAACTGCTCTAACTTACCATAATCTCCACTCTTTTCAAAATTTCTGCAACACCGTTTATCTTTACCAAATTATTTGGCATCCTTTTTTTACGCTCCTTAATTATTTAATTACATAATAAGTGCTTAATATTTGTTGAATTGAGAATGTGTCATGTGAGTTTGCTAGATAGTAAGTTTCCTGAGTATAGGAACATTGTTCTGTTCCAGAAAAGCTTACTTTTTAAAGTTAGTCAGGTTTGGGCATTTTCTCTTCTCATGATCCATGTATCAAAATATTATGAAAAGTTATCTAAGAAGACCTGTCAGAGACTCCCAATAAATAATCCTTGGAGAGAGTCTTATAAACTCCTATGTTAAATAGTTTACTAGGATAGCATGTAGAATACAGTATGTAGAATACATTTAACTGAGTATGTCAGTGGTATTAAAGTCCTCTCACTAAATCACTTGATATAATTATTTACCATTTAACATTAGTATACATTTGTAATTAAAAATTATCTTCTACTTTATTCATAAACTGAAATGGTGAATAAGGAATTCATGAACTGATTTATGTAATCTAGCATTTTATATAAAGAAGCAAAATACTGGCAATAGCTTTTCCCTTGAAGAAATGTCTAGACATGTTATCAGAATGTAAGCTCCACGAGGACAGGGATTTTTGTTTGTTTTGTTCACTGTGATGTTCCCAACATGTAGTGTGTCTGATACTAATAAACATTCAGTAAACAGTTACTGAATAAATGGATCTCATTTTGGATATTTCTTGTGAAGTTCAACTCTTGAATTATAGATATAACTCATTCCATCAAGCTTTTATGTCAAAGTCCCTAGTGACTTCCATCTTGCCAAATTCAGTAGTCAACAGTCAATTCCTAGTCCATTTTTTTTATTGTTGATCTCTTAGCATTCCTCTTTGATATACTTTATTCAGTTGGTTTCCAGTACACCAAACTTTTCCTGATTTTCTGCTTTAAGTCCTTTTTAAGACTCTTTTGGCTTATCCTTTTTGTGACTTCCAAATGTTGAACTGAACCTGGAGCTCAGATCTAGAACTTCTTTCAAATTTTGTTCCCTTAGAGTCTTAGGAGGCAGTTTAGCTTAGCTTTAAGAATTCAGATTCTGGAGCTACACTGCCTGAATTCATTTTCCAGGTTTGCTGCTTACCAACAGTGTGACTTTGGTCTAGTTGCTTAGATACTCTGTGCCCCAGTTTTCTTTAATATGGAATATAGAGATAGTAATAGTTCTACTCATTCCTTCATCATTACCTATTTCAGTAGATGGCATCATTGGTATTTCCTGTCACTCTTCTCTATTGTCTAGGAGCCATCATTGATTCTTCATTTCCTTTCACACTCCACATCCATTCTATCAGGACAATGTGCCCTGACTGGGACGAACTGTGACCTCCTGGTTTCTAGGTTGATGCTCAACCACTGAGCTACGCCAGCTGGGCAACTTTTTTTTTTTTTAAATCTTCACCTGAGGATATTTTTTGTAATTGTTTTATTAGAGAGAAGAGAAAGGGAGAGGGATGAGGAAGGAAGGAAGAGAGAGAGAGAGAGAGAGAGAGAGAGAGAGAGAGAGAGAGAGAGAAACATTGGTTGCCTCTTGTACACACCCTGACCCCCAATTGGGTAAGTGTCCTGACCTGGAATCAAGCCCACGACCTTTTGGTGTTGAGACGATGCTCCATCCAACTGAGCCACAGTGGCCTGGGCTCTACTTTAGAATGTATCCAGAATCTCATCACTTCTCCTTGACTCACCACTATTATTTTACTCCAGTCATCATGACTTCTTTCATAGACGATGGCAAAAGCTTTTATTAGGCTTTCTTTGCTACCACTCTTACCCCACATAATCAGTTCTCATCTACAAAGCTCAGTGATCTTTGAAAAATGTCAGATAATGTCACCTGCTCAACATTCTCCAGTAACTTCCCATCCCACTTACAAGGAAATGCAATTCCTTACTATGGTACCCTATCTGACTCCTTCCTGTATCTGATGTGATTTTGATCCGCAAACACTCACTTTCATCTAAGCCTCTTGGGTCTGAACACTCTAAGCTCATTACTGCCTTTGTATCTATCTTGTGCTGTTTGCTTTCCCAGGGATATTCTTCCCTCAGGTATTTGAAGGTCTAAGGTCACATCATTCAAGACTGTTCAAAACAGTTTATAAGAGAGGCTTTCCCTAACTACCTTCTGCAAAAAAAATATTAATCTTTACCAACTCACTGTTTTCTTGTTCCATCTTATTATATTCAACTACATTATATTCAACTCCATCAATATTCAACTACATTGATTGATTGATTGATTGATTGACTGTATGGAATATAAACCCCATAAGGATAAGAACTTTTTTTTTAACCCTTTTATTGAAGTTATTGAGGTGACATTGTTTAATAAAATTATACAGGTTTCAAGTGTACAATTCTGTAATTCATCATCTGAATATTATTGTGTGTTCACCACCCCAAGTCAAGCCTCCTCCTATCACCATTTATTCTCCCTTTATCCTCTTCTAAGGACTTTTCATTTCTATCCCCAGTACCTTAGGGACAGAACATAGTAAGCACTCAATAACTATTTATCATAGATCTGCATGCAGTCTTGTATTTCTAAATATGTGTGTTTTTTTTGTGTTTTTTTTTAAAAATTGATTTTAGAGAGAGATAGACATTAGAAACATAAGTGTTAATTGATTGGCTGCCTCCTGCATGCCCCCTGCCGGGATCAAGCCGGAAACCCTGGGCATGTGCCCTGACCAGGAATCCAACTGGTAGCTTCTTGGTGCCTAGGTTGCTGCTCAACCACTGAGCCATACCGGCCAGGCACCAGTCTTGTATTTCTGTTTAGTGTTTTGTTATCACTAAAAAAATAAATCTATCAGAAAATTGAACTTACCTTTCCTAGTCTGGTTCTTCAGCCATTATTTAGTAGTTTTATAATGTTCTAGTTAGCTTGACTTGAAACCCAAGAGGCATTTTGAATCATTCCCCTGCCTCTGCTAAATCATCAAGTTTTGTTTTTATAATAGTACATTTGCATTACTAGTCAGATTATTTTGGACCAGTTTGTATCCTACAGTTGGATATGTTTTTCCTTTGTTTTGCTTAGTCTACCCTGTCATAAACCACAGCTAGATTAATCTTCATAAATATTAATGTCCCATTCTCTTGCAGTATGGTGTAATTGAAGGACCTTGGGCTTTGGGTTTTTGTTTTTTCTTTTTTTTTAATTCTTTGTTGTTGACAGTATTACATATGTC